ACCGTATAAAGGGCATCAGTCCAGTAGTTCTCAGGCCACTGAACTGAAACCCGGAGCCGTGTGGATGTTATAGGCACTGTGGATTTTAGTATTTGTCCAGAAGACCTTTTTTCCTCAACATTTTTTGTTTTGTAGGACATATAGACTTTGTGCTGTTTCAGTTGGTTTGCACATTACAACAGGTGAGTCTTGTTTACGTCAGAGCATTTTTATACTTTTTGACACCATAGGCTTGACTAATTTAAAATTTCTCAGTGAAAATAATGATTATTTTCTTTCGTTTGAAACTATGCTTGAAAGACTGTCACAAATGTCTTCATTTTGTTAGACTGCTGCAGTTAAACGCTTTTAAAGACCTGTTGCTACTACTGCACTCAGCAAGTGTTCGGGATGTCATCTCATAAAAATGCATAAACCGTTTTTAACTTGAAACATTTGAATGCCTAATTGCACATAAACGTCCGTTTGAAGCATAGTGTATCTATTTATTGATATGAATTTACTTAATGGTGTGTCCATTTACTTGGACTTGTTAGTAAGTGTTATTGATGTATTTTTAAACAGTTGTGAATTAGGCTATAAATGAAAGTTCAGAATGTGAACTTTTACACAGCTGGTTTAAAAAGGCACATGATCACAGATGTTTAATTAGCCTATACACGTTGCCCCTTTGAAAGATGATGTCAAATCTCCTTAAAATGTTATAATTGAGATACATCAAATTGTTAAAGGGTCTATTATAATCTCTTGCTAAGATTGGTCTGTAATGTAAAGCCAAAGAATGTGGAAACAGGAAAACACAAAGCCCCTATTTGTAGAAGTGTTGTTTAAATAATATTTTATTTTATTTGAATAGTTTTTGTTGCAATTTTTTATTTGGGTCTTATTGCCCAACTGAGCATTTTTTTTCACTCTGTATAAAACATTGTTAAAGGCATGCAATATGTTTCATTAGACTATCAAATGAGTATTTGGGAATAAATGGGTTAATAAGATTTTATGTTTTTATATAATTGTATGTGTATTTTAAAGGAGTATGATACTCAGGAGAAATTTCTACTTGCTGCCTTTGCTGTTACTATGCATCAGAGCACTACCTCAAGGTAAATCCATGATCCACCTGTTCCTAAATTGTTTATAAATAAATAGGATTTAACATATTTTTCTGTCTTGCTATTGAGGTTTACTTGCACATATCTAATTCTGAAATTGAGATGTCCATATTACACAACTTGCCCATTATTCTCTGTGCCTCAAAGCACATCTGTGTTTGATTCATTAACAGAGTCTGTATGTGGTATTCAATGCAAAACAGCTTTCAAATAGTTTTGATCTGAGATTATGTAATATTTTCTTGAAAATTTTAATGGGCTTATCTAATCATCACATAAAATCTATCTTGTGTTCTCGCATAATCATCTGTACTATGCTGAAATGCTTATGTTGACTCATTCAAAGATGGCCATGTGGAAGATGAATCCATCTTCGACCTTTTCAAAATCAGCAGCATCAGCAGAAAGACGATTGGTGCCAAGCTCTTCAAGGGCCACGACTGGGACTCGCCTGCATATCGCTTCATCCGTTTTGATCACATCCCTGCTGTGAGCACCCCGGCCCTCCATCAGATCCTAAAGCAGGTCCAGAACAATGAGGGCTTTGTGTTTGTGGCCACCATACGACAGGACAAGGGCTCCAGGGGAACCCTGTTTGGTCTGGAGGGCCCCAGTGGGAGCCGTCAGTTTGAGATTATGTCCAATGGGCGTGCCAACACGTTAGATCTACTCTACATGGTCGGGGGATCTCAGAATGTGGTGTCCTTTGAGGATGTGGACTTGTCTGATTCGCAGTGGAAGAACATTACGCTGTACATTCACGGAGAGAACGCTCACCTCTACGTAGGCTGTAGCCTCATTGACAGCGTGATCCTGGATGAGCCTTTCTATGAACATCTGCGGTCTGAGGGCAGTCAGATGTTTGTGGCCAAGGGATCTATCAGAGAAAACCACTTCAGGGTAAGAGCAGTTCTTCTCGATGAACATCATCTGAACTTCATTCACTGCTTGTTATGGAATTCCTGCATAAGGATTTTTCTGTGCTGTGAAAAAGGGAAGAAAATCCTTTTTCGAGTATCGAGAAATTCTATACTGTTTTTTAAATAAAATGGTCAAATGATTTATCTATCTGTCTGTCTCTGTCTGTCTGTGTCTGTCTGTCTGTCT